AAGATTAGAGCAGAAATCAATGATACAGAAATTAAAAAAAAAAAAAACTGTAGAACAGATCAATGAAACAGCTGTTTCTTTGAAAGAATTAACAAAAATTGATAAACCCTTAGCCAGATTTATCAAAAAGAGAGACCCAAATAGAGGAAATCATGAATGAAAGAGGAGAGATCACAACAAACACCAAAGAAATATGATTATAAGAGAATATTATGAGCAATTATATGCCAACAAATTAGGCAATCTGGAAGAAATTGATGCATTCCCAGAAGCATATAAAATACCAAAACTGAAACAGGAAGAAATAGAAAACCTGAACAGACACATAACCAGCAATGAAATTGAAGCAGTAATCAAAACACTCCCAGCAAACAAATGTCCAGGGCTGGACGGCTACCTATCAAACATTTAAAGAAAAATTAATACCCATTATTTTGAAACTTTTCCAAAAAAATAGAAGTGAAAGGAAAACTTCCAAACTCATTCTATGAGGCCAAATCCCCAAAACAAAGACCTCACCAAAAAAGAGAATTATAGACCAATATTATCCCTGATGAACGTAGATGTCAAAATTCTCCAAAAGATACCAGCCAATAGGATCCAACAGTATATTAATAGGATTATTCACCAAGATCAAGTGGGATTTATTCCTGGGCTACAAGGGTGGTTCAACAGCCACAAGTCGATTAACATGATATAATACATTAACAAAACAAAGGATAAGAACCATGTGATCCTCTCAGTGCAGAAAGGCATTTGACAAAATACCGCATCCTTTTTGATAAAAAAAACCTCAGAAAAGTGGGGAGAGAAGGAACATACCTCAGCATCATAAAGGCCTTATACAAAAGACTTACAACTAATATCATCCTCAGTGGGGAAAAACAGAGCTTTTACCCTAAGGTTAGGAACATGACTGGTATGTCCACTTTCGCTACTGTTGTTCAACATATTACTAGAAGTCCTAGCTTCAGCAATCAGAAAACAAAAAGAAATAAGAGGCATTCAGATGAGCACAGAAGTCAAACTTTCACTCTTTGCAGACGTCATGATTCTCTATGTAAAAATCCCAAAGGACTCCACCAAAAAATTGCTAAAACTTACACAGGAATTCAGCAAGGACACAGTCTATAAAGTCAACACACAGAAGTCTGTTGCATTTCTATACATCAACAATGAAGCAGCAGAAAGGAGTCAATCCCATTTACAGTGGTACCAAAAACTCAAAGGTACCTATCTAACCAAAGCAGTAAAATAATTGTGCTATGAAAACTACAGAATATTTATGAAAGAAATTGAGGAATACACAAAGAAATGGAAAAACATTCCATGCTAATGGATTGGAAGACCAAATATTTTTAAAATATCTATACTACCTAAAGCAGTATACACATACATTGCAATCCCTACTAAAATAACCACCAGTATTTTTCACAGATCCAGAAGAAACAATTCTGAAATTTATATGGAACCACAAAAACCACCAGATAGCCAACACAATGTTGAAAAAGCAGAACAAAACTGGAGGTATCACAATTCCAGATTTCATGTTATACTACACAAAACTGTAATAATCAAAATAGTATGGTACAGGCAGAAAAAAAAAATAGACACATAGATCAATAGAACAGACAGCAAATCCAGAAATGAGTCTGCAACTACATGGTCAAACAATGTTAATGTTCAACAAAGAGGTAAGAATATCCAATGGGAAAAAGACACTCTCGTCAACAAATGGTATTGGGAAAACAAATGGTATTGGGAAAATAGATGCAGAAGAATGAAACTGGACCACTTTCTTACACCATACACAAAAATAAATTCAAAGTGGACAAAAGACCTAAATGTGAAACAGGAATCCATCAAAATCCTAGAAAAGAATACAGGTATCAACCTCTTTGACCTCAGCCACAGCAAGTTCTTGCTAGACATGTCTCCAGAGGCAAGGACAACAAAAGCAAAAATGAACTATTGGGAGTTCATCAAGACAAAAATCTTCTGCACAACAAAGCAAACAAACTAAAAGGCATCCTATGGAATGGAAGAAGGTATTTGCAAATGACATATCAGATAAAGGGCTAGTATCCAAAATCTAAAAAGAACTTACCAAACTCAACACCCAAAAAATTAAAAATCAAGTCAAAAAAATGGGAAGAATACATGAATAGACATTCTCCAAGAAGACATACAAATGGCTAACAGACACATGAAAAAAATGTTCAAATACAAATCAAAACCACAATGGGATAGCATCTCACCAGTCAGAATGGCTAAAATTAACAACTCAGGAAAGAATGGATGCTGGCAAGGATATGGAGAAAGGGAAACCCTTTTGCACTGTTGGTGGGAATACAAACTGGTCCAGCCAATCTGGAAAACAGTATGGAGGGTCCTCAGAAAGTTAAAAATAGAACTACGCTGACTCAGCAATTGCCGTACTAGGTTTTTACCCAAAGTATACAAACATAGTGATTCAGAGGGGCACATCCACCCCAATGTTTATATCAGCAATGTCCACAATAGCCAAAATACAGAAAGAGCCCATTTGTCCATCAACAGATGATAAGGAAGATGTAGGATTGGGGGTCGGGGGGTGGAGTATTACTCAGCCATCAAAAACAATGAAATCTTTCCATTTGCAATGACATGGATGAAACTATAGTGTGTTATGCTAAGCAAAATAAGTCAATTAGAGAAAGAAAAATACCATATGATTTCACTCATATGTGGAATTTAAGAAACAAAACATGAACATATGGGACAAGGGAAAAGAAGGAAGCAAACTATAAGAGACTCAACAATAGAGCTCAAACTGAGGGTTGATGGAGGTGTGTGGAGAATGGGCTAAATGGGTGATGCGTGTTGTGTGTGATAAACCACTGAATTCTACTCCTGAAAGTAGTATTCGCATAGTTAACATAGTTAACTGTATGTTAACTAACTAGAATTTAAATAAAAAGTTGAATGAAAAGAAAATAGTGTCATGTTGATAGCATAAGATGGGATAAGAATACAGTGTCTTTGCCTCTGTGGTCTTTATCCCCAAAACACAAATTCCATTTTTATCCTCAAAACATATCAGACAAGTATCCCATACTGAAGGACTTTCTGCAATGTCTTCTAAATGTCAAGGTTATCAAAACCAGGGCAAGTCACTCATAATCTAGAGGAGTCTAAGGAGACATGATAACTAGATATAATATTGTATCCTGGATGGAACTATGGAACAGAAAAACGAGATTAAGGGGGAAAAATAAATATCAAAGTATGGATTTTATTTAATAATTGTCAACATTATATTATTAGTTGTGACAAATCTAGGAATGATAACAGTAGGGTAAATTGGGTACAGCATATTTAGGAATTTTCCTTCCTATCCTTGCAGTTTTCCTGTGAATTTAAAGACATTCTAAAATAAAAAATTTCTTTTTATTTTATTTTTTAGATTTTATTTATTTATTTGACAGAGAGAAGGGGAACACAAGCAGGGGAAGTGGGAGAGGGAGATTTTTTTCTTCATCAAATGAGTTCTTGCCATTTGCAATACATGGATGGACCTAGAGGGTATAATGTTGAGTGAAATGAGTCAATCAGATAAAGACAATTATCATATGATTTCATTCATTTTGGAATTTAAGAAACAAAACAAAAGACCCCCCCCCCAAAAAAAGGGGCAAACAAAAAAGCAAACTCTTAAATTCAGACAACAAACTAGTGGTTGTCAGAGGGGAGGTGGGTGGGGGAGGGATGAAATTGATAAAGGGGATCAAAAGTACATTTATCTTATGGAGCACTGTTAATATATTGTTAGCTACTAGTTTTGTTTTTGGGGTTGGTTTTTTTTTTTTTTTTTTGTATTTTAAATCTTTTGAGGCCTTCCCTGGTATGTAGTTAAGTTACTTGGAATTAATTTGATTATTTCAGGGATTGCATTAAGCTGTGTTTTATTAGATTCAGAGCTTGCTTTAGGACTCATTGGCTCTTCTGTTAAGCAATAAACATCCTGGTATTCTTCCCAGTTGGCCATGAAGTAGATTTTTCTACCCTGGCTGGTGACAACAGAAGCTTCCTACATCTATGTATGCTTTGATAATTTTTTCAGCCTATTCTTTTTCACTGATCTTTCCCCATTCTTGAGTATTTTTCTTCCATACTTGCACAAGTTAGTACTTAGGAGACTCTTCTGCAAATCTCTAAGACTCCATATCAGTACAGCTTTTTCTTCTCTAGTATTTCATCCTTAACAATTCTGGTTGTCATGATTCATTTATGTTTCTTCAACTTAATGAGTCAGCTAGGCTTTTTTGGTTCTTTTGTTCTAGGTTAAACTCTTGGCAGTAAACTGTGTGATAAGGGAAATTTTCAACTTTTAATGTTTGTGGACCCTGCTCCTGGGCTTTAACATTTACTAAGACCAAAATGACTCGGCAAAACCTCAAAGCATGGGCTCTTTTTCTGCCCCAAGCACATGAGATCATGACCTGAGCCAAAGACAGAGGCTTAACCCACTGAGCCACCCAGGCGCCCCTCTTTAAAATTTTTTAAAGTTTATGTTCATTTTGTGTCAACACGTGATAATCCTTGGACTCACATCATTTGTTTTCCCATTTCAAGTATTTCTGTCTGCACCGCCTGGTGTCTAAAGTCTAAAAGCCATTTTATATAGTTTGTACACTTTTTTAGATATGTGGTATGGAGAAGTAAATCAGTTCCTTTTACTCTATTATGGCCAGTTTGGAAAGTCCTTCTAAACTCTCTTCTTTAAAACATAGACACTGAGCATTTTGGAATTTAACATTACTTAGGCTTGTGATTTAGGGGGTTAAGAAGATTGGTGCTTTATAAGCATTAGAAAATATTTTTTGTGATCATTCCCCTCCCAGAAAAGTTGTAGTGAGCACCCTAAATGTGCCACTTTTGAAACTATACCTTCCTTCACATTCAGAAACAGTGAAACCTATGCAGCTAAACTGAAGTGCTAAATTATTTCCCATTTACAGGGTACTGCTTTACAAAGCCAGAACTGATCTTCACATTGGAACAAGGAGAGGATCCATGGTTATTAAAGAAAGAATTTCTAAGAAAAAGCTCCCCAGGTGAGTTATTGAATACTGGCAGAAGGCATCCAAGAAAATTAGATCCAAAGTGATCAGCTAAAAAAAAAATAAAACCAAAGCAATCAGCTGGAAGTGAGCTGTTTAAAATGTTTTTCAGCACTGTCCTTTTAGAGTCTTTTTAAATTACAAAATAATAGATCTAATAAAATGTGGGGGGGGCCAGTTAACACAAGGAGTGGGTTGTAAGCATGTTGATGTTCTCATCTTAAAAGATGGGAAGCTGAAAAGTTAAATAATGAATTCCATATTCTTAACAGTAAAAACATAAAAACTAAGAAAAATTAATAAAACTACTAAAATTGAGAATCAGCAGATTAGAAAAGAGAAAGGAACCATAATTTTTTCACCATATAATAATGAGTTACTAGTTGTCATCTAAATATATAGATAATTAAGAAATTACATAATATTATTGGAAAGGATAACTACTGGAACAAACCGCAGCCTTCCTAATTATTAGAAGTTAAATATGTTTAATAGAGCAAAGATAACAGACCTATTAATAGAAAAGTTTCTTTAAAAGCTATACAGAGTCCCCAATAATATTATGTGTCAACTATACTTCAAATTAAAAAAAAGAAAGAGCAAGTCCTCAAGACAGCTACCACATACTGCATTCATTGGTTCTTTTTGCTACTCAGCATATAGTCATACTTAACAGCTAAGATTTATAACATGAAATGATTGGTACAAAGCAAAATCAGCAAAAAGAAAAGGGACAAAGTCCAGAGGAAACCAAGTGCAAGCTTCCAAGACCCCCAGCAGTGAATGTTGTCTACCTGGAAAGTTCATTAGAGACTAGGTTCTTGGGAACCATCTCAAAATCTAAGTTTGTAGATGCCAGGCAGGGGCTAATCTTCCAAGCCAACCATCTAAGGGTAACAGTCTCAGACCTGCTGTGTTAAACATTTTGCACAAAAGCTATGCAAATACACTACATAATATACAGTAAGGTAAACATACCTGCCATATCAACTAATGAAAATGAATTAAATTCATCTATTAAGATAATATCCCATCAAATTGTATCAAAGAGATATGCCTAAAAAGTAATATATATAGTTTGAAATATAGCCATAAATTGTTAAGCCAAAAGCATTTTAAACTCAATATTTATTTACCTAATACTTAAGAATCAGTTCATGTCAAAAACAGATAAGAAAATTTGATATTGTGATAAAGCTAAAAAAGTTTTAAAGGACATTGAAGTTTTCAGTATTATGTACCAAATTATCAGGATTCATAAAACAAAATCTGGCAAGAGTTATAAGGATAAGTAGGCATACATTAGATATAATAGACCTTAATATGCCCCTCTTTCATACCAGACTCAGTGGGATCTAGAATACAGCTCAGAAAACTATCCCTAGGTCAAATTCTGCCTGCTGCTTTTTCTGGTAAAGAAACATTTATTGGAATACACAGCCATGTCCATTTGTTCATGTATTCACACTACAAGGCAGAGTTGAGTAACTTCAGTTTGAACTACAGAAACAACATAGGCTTTAACTGCTCAGGTTCTCTTCTATGTGGATTTTTTTCAATACAGCACATGTAAATGTATTTTCTCTTTCTTATAATTTTCTTTACTGTAGCTAACTTTATTGTAACAATACAGTATATAATACATGTAATATACAAAATGTGTTCATCAACTTTATGTCATTGGTATAGTTTCTAGTCAACAGCAGGCTACTAATAAGTTTTTGGTGAGTCAAAAATTGCATATTTTTAATTGCTTTGGGGGTTGGCACCCCTATTCTCCACATTGTTCAAGGGTCAACTATAATTGCAATAGAGAGTGCATGACCAGCAAAGCCCAAAACATTTACTCTCTGGCCTTTTACAAAGAAAGTTTCCCAATCTCTGGTCTAGACATTATCTAGCATATTTTATTAAAAAAATCTATTAAGTGTCTTTCAAAACTCTATTTTGAAAACAAAAAATAAACCTCCTTTTAAATGGCCTTGGAACACAGAAAATGTAAAGTATTTTAGACAAACATCAATAAATTTCAAAAAGCAGAGATACTATCGTTCAGTAACACTAATTGCAAACTATGAGAAAAGTTAAAATCCGTCTATCTTAAAATCAGTGATAAATATATATCTTTCAAAAACCTATTTCATCAAAATTATACAATATCCAGAAGTTTTTATTAAAAAAACATGTCTTGGGCTGTCTGGGTGGCCCATAGTTAAGCCTCTGCCTTCAGCTCAGGTCATGATCTCAGGGTCCTGGGATCGAGTCCCACATCAGGCTCTCTGCTGGAATGGAGCCTGCTTCCTCCTCCCTCTCTCTCTCTCTCTCTCTCTCTCTCTGTGCTTGCCTCTCTGCCTACTTGTGATCTCTCTCTGTCAAATAAATAAAATCTTAAAAAAGAAACAAACATGTCTTATTAGAACCTTTGAACTGTAGATAAAGCAGTGCAGAATTTTTTATCTCATATACAGTTGACACTTGAACAGCACAGGTTTGAACTATACAGATCTACCTATACATGGATTTTTTTCAATAAATGCAATAAAGTACTGTGGACATATTTTCTTTTATTTTCTTAATAATATTGTCTTTTCTCTAGCTTACTTTATTGTAAAAATACAGCATATATAATACATGTAAATTACAAAATATGTGTTAACTGTGTTTATCTTATTGGTAAGGCTTCTGGTCAACAGTAAGCTGTTAGTAGTTAAGTTTTTGGGGGAATCAGAAGTTATACACAGATTTCCAGCTGCATGGGGAGTGGTCAGCACCCCTTGGCCAGTTGACCCTTGAAACACACGGTCAATTGTACTTTTTTTTTTTTTTTAGATTTTTATTATTTATTTATTTGCTAGAGATTACAAGTAGGCAGAGAGGCAGGCAGAGAGAGAGGAGGAAGGAGGTTCCCCGCTGAGCAGAGAGCCTGATGCAGGGTTCAATCCCAGGACCCTGAGACCATGACCTGAGCCGAAGGCAGAGGCTTCAACCTACTGAGCCACCCAGGCGCCCCTCAAGTGTACTTTTTTTTAACAAGAAAGAAAGTTGTAAAAGAAAGCTTAAGTAAAGTAAAAAACTGTAATACAAACTATAATGGTATTAATTATATAGCAAAGGTAATCCTTGGAATAAAAGTAAATTAAATAGCTAACCTCAGCCAGAAAAAGGAAAGAAAGCACTCTTACTCATTATAAGTTAGGGGACAGATTCCTACTTGTGTAATATAATCTTGGAATATTTTAGCCTATACTTCATTTCTTTTGTAAACTCTTAAATCATGTGATGGATGTGTCAAGTTAGTGAATGAGATGAGCTCCTTTTCTCACCTGGATTATGATCCCCCCCACCAAAAGAATTGTCTGTTTCATTCTTCTACTTTGATATGTATTATATGATAAGTATTTTTAATAACATTGTAGATTGATTCCAAAATGAGGTGGAGATAACTGTTTCATACTGATTCATTCAGAAGACACTATTCATAAATGCAATGCCCAAGTCAAATTTCTAGGATTTTTTGAATCCTCAGGCTAAGTCAGCAATCGATCTGAGCCCTTCTATAAGCTCCCTAGGTAATTCTGAGCACACTGCTTTTTATGGACCACTGACATACTACAGAAGGATGCAAAGAGTATCATAGTGAGGGTTTCATTTTGGAAAAGTGAGCAAAGCTGCATAAAAAATATTTCATATCATATAAGGTACTGTTGATTAAAAGATGGACCCAGTATTTTAAATACAACCAAGAAAGAGAAAATTGCTGCCCATTTAACTATGGACATGCCATCAATTTTAAAATGAATCCTAAAAAAAAAAAAAAAAAGAATCCTGATTTGGGTTGTGATAATTTACTTTAAAAGTCATGAGTCACAGGGCGCTTGGGTGGCTCAGTTGGTTAAGCCTCTGCCTTTGGCTCAGGTCATGATCTCAGGGTCCTGGGATTGACCCCATATCGGGCTCTCTGCTCAGCGCGGTGCCTGCTTCTCCCTCTCTCTCTGCCTGCCTCTCTACTTACTTGTGATTTCTCTCTGTCGAATAAATGAATAAAATCTTTAAAAAAAAAAATCACGATTCACAAATATGGGCCCTCTCTGTATATCCCTTGTTAAAATAATGATACAGGCAGAATGGTACTTCTTTCAGATTTTAAAGTAAATATTGCTTAAATTTGTAAGAAGATATTAGAAGTCTTTCTGTTGTTAAGTTTAATGAAGATAGCTTTGCTGTACCTGAAAGGCATCTAGATTCTGTATAGTTCTAATACTAAATTGGAAGTCAGTTTAGGGAAAGAGTGTGCATATAAAGTTACTGCTGGAAAAGAACCATTTAATGGGGACCTATAACAAGATTAGAGCAGAAAATACTATGGACGGGTGGAATGGTAGTAAAACACACAATGAACATGTAGTTAATGTGACATTTTCCCTGAATCACTTAAATCTTTCATCCCTTGGTGCCTAGGGTAATGTATTCAAGGCTTTCTAATATTTTTAGGATAGGCCTGATGTTTTTGCTAGGAGTGTGGGTAGTAAAAGGGCAATAATAGTCAAATATGCATAAGAAACTTATGGTGAATAAATACAAAGGATACTTGTAGTTTTTAAGGCCAGTTTGAAGCATGATCCTTACTTAAGGTTCTCACAGTCAAAAAAAAAAAAAAAAAACACCTAGCTATGCTGGAAAACAGAATCAAAGATTGGGCAAGCAGGACTAGTTTGGGGAAAATAATGAGCAAGTTGAAAAGAGAAAAGTTGAGGTTTGATGACCAAGAGATAGTCACTATTTAACAATAATACCAAGGTACCAGAACCAGGATAGACCAGTGACTCCATTATAGGTGGAAAAATTACTTTAAGTCCATCATTTTGTTTTTACTTCTACTGATACACTTTTTCTGTGAATAATATCACAGAGAGAATTAAAGCATGGCAAATAATTTTTTTTTCACCATGAGGAAGTTGGTCCCATTATAAACTTAGTGTTGTTGTATAGACTAGAAAAAATGGAGCTCCAAATGTAATCATATATTCTAATGATTATGCTACCGTTTTAATCTATATTTGACTAAGAATCTAGACTCATATTTTTCCCTAATGCAAATTCTATCTCCGGTAAATCCATTGAAAGCCTTTTAATCTACTTAGTTTCATAATCTTTGTTGAATTCATCCCATTTACTACTTTTTTCCTGTCTTTTCTGTTCCCAAGAGCCAATTCTCTCAAATATATTCTACATTCTTAATTGTTCCTTTCCTTTATATCTTCTTCTTTAACCAATTTTGAAAACTATACTTTAAGATGCCAAATCATATGTATATTTATTTCTAGTTTCTTCCCACTAAAAAAGTTTTTTCATTTTTTGTTTTTTGGGTTTTTTGGGGGGTTTTTTTTTGGGTTTTGTTTTGTTTTTTTGTTTTTTTGTTTTTTCAAAAAAAGAATATACACTTGAAATTATTAACCTGAGCCAGAAACTGAGGCATCAAATACATAATAGGGCATATATCTATAAGTCCCATTCCATAAGAAGTGTGTTAAATATCTTAAAGTATTTTTAATTTTCTCATTTTTTAGAAGACTCCCAACCTAATCAACATTCAGAGAAGAGCCTAGAAAACCAAGGCAAATATTTGTGGCAAGTTTTGTTCACCAACAAATCATTGACTACAGCAGAACCATGTAATCTGGACATAAACATTTTACCTGTAAGAACAATGCCCTATAAATTTGATACTACAGGGCCTACCTACCTGCATCTCAGTTCATTGGCCCCACACTATCAATATTCAAGAAAGAAGGCTCATGAGCTTACTGAGAAATGGCTTCTTAGTATTAAGGAGGGCAGAACTAATACTAGCGAGAAATCACTTGTCTATAGTAAAAATGTGAATTCCTTCAGTCATAAAGAGAAAGTCATTCAGCATCAGGCAATTCAGACTTTGCAGCAAGCTTCTGAGTACAACGAATGTGGAAAAGCTTTCCTTGAACAGACTGCTCTCACTGCTTCTGAAAGTATCTACCCAAAAGTGAAATCTTATAAATTCAGTAAATTTGGGGTAAAACAATGTGATAAATCAACTTCTATAGTCTCTCATAGCCATAATCCAGAAGAGAAGAGTCATGGCGAATTTAATGAATATGAATGTGCCCAAAACAGAAATAATTTCAGTAGGATCATGCAAAGAACTGACACAGAAGGGAAACCTTTCAGCCAAAAATCACACAGAGAACATCAGAAAATTCATATAGGAGTGAAACCCTATGAATATGGAAAGAATTTCATCCATAATCCAGCCCCCCCAGTGCATCAAAGAACTCACACAACAGACAAATCCTCTGATTATGACACATGTACAGAGACATTAGGTTGTCAGTCAGCTTTCAACATACATCAGAGAACTCACATAACACTGAAACCCTATGAATGTAATGAATGTGGAAAACCCTGTACTATGAATTCATTCCTGATTCAGCCTCTGGAAAGTCACACAGGGGATAAAACCTACGAATGTCATGCATGTGGGAAAGCTTTCAGTGAGAAATCACGCCTAAGAAAACATCAAAGAACTCACACAGGAGAGAAACCCTATAAATGTGATGGTTGTGAGAAGTCTTTCAGTGCAAAGTCAGGTCTAAGAATACATCAGAGAACTCACACAGGGGAGAAACCCTATGAGTGTAATGAATGTGGGAAGTCTTTCAACTATAAGTCAATCCTCATAGTACATCAGAGAACTCACACAGGGGAGAAACCCTTTGAATGTAATGAATGTGGAAAAGCATTCAGCCACATGTCAGGCCTAAGAAATCATCGGAGAACTCACACAGGGGAAAGACCGTATAAATGTGATGAATGTGGGAAAGCTTTCAAACTGAAGTCAGGTCTAAGAAAACATCATAGAACTCACACAGGGGAGAAGCCCTATAAATGCAATCACTGTGGGAAAGCTTTTGGTCAGAAATCACAACTCAGAGGACATCATAGAATTCACACAGGGGAGAAACCCTATAAATGTAATCATTGTGGGGAAGCTTTCAGCCAGAAATCAAACCTTAGAGTGCATCACAGAACTCACACTGGGGAGAAACCCTATAAATGTGATGAGTGTGGAAAAACTTTCAGGCAAAAATCAAATCTCAGAGGACATCAGAGAACTCACACAGGGGAGAAACCCTATGAATGTAATGAATGTGGAAAAGCTTTCAGTGAAAAGTCAGTCCTAAGGAAACATCAGAGAACTCACACAGGAGAGAAACCCTATAATTGTAATCACTGTGGAGAAGCTTTCAGCCAGAAATCAAACCTCAGAGTACATCAGAGAACTCACACAGGGGAGAAACCCTATAAATGTGATAAATGTGGGAAAACTTTCAGCCAGAAATCCAGCCTTAGAGAACATCAGAAAGCCCACACAGGGAGTTGAACATCTGAACATAAAGAATATGGAAAAACTTTGAGCCAGAAATCAAATCTCACAATATAAAAGAGAAAAAGAACCCTGTGAATAGAATAAACTATTGCAAGTTCCTCTGCAAGATACCAATCTTCACAAACATCAGAGAACGTACACAGGAGAGAAATTCTTGGAATATATTTTATATGGGCAGTCTTTCATACAAAGTGCAGTCCTCATTATGGATCAGAGAACTCACCCACCAAAGAAATGAAATTACAGAGAGAATGAACATAAGAAATACTCTGTACTCAATCCTCAGAAAACTCACACTGCAGAAAAGGTCTGGGAATATAATAAAATATGAAAACTCTGTGTCAATTATCAAAATTTACTCATCATCAGATAAATGATGCAATAAGAAAACTGAGAATGTAATAAGTGTTTGATAACTTTTAGCCAAAAGCCACCTTTCTCAGTACAACAGAAAATGCATAAAGGTTATAGACCTCACACTATTTCAACACACACAAAAAACAAGGTAATGGATGTGGGGAATTTTTCTATTATAAATCAGCCCTCAATTTGACTTACACAGAAGTAATCCCCAAGTGCCATATAATGGCTATTAATTGTTCACCAATAACCATTTCCTCTTTTCCCTCATGCCACACCTAGTCTACATTTCTCAACCAGTGTCATCCAAATGGTGTCATATTCATAAACTCTGGCTAGTAGGATGTGGGTGTCAATGACCAGTCTCATTTAATACATTCCTCGAATTAATGTTTTCTCCTGTCCCTTATTAGAATGGAGTGGAGATTTCTCCCAGTGAAACCGTGGGGCTCATGCACTGAAGATGGGAAAGTATAAGATGGAAGGAAACAGGGTAAAGAGTGACTGGAATGGAGTTTTTTCTTCCATGTAACCAGTCTTTTTGCAGCAAGGATATAAATTTGTTACTGAGTTTCTACAGGCTTGAGTATACTCTATACTGACATATACTCACCAAACCCTCAACTAATAAAGCCTATGAATATGATTTCTGTGGATATCTGTACTCAACATATATCAGAAACCCGACATAGGAGAAACCCCTGACAATATCCTGAATGACCAGTTTTTATCCACAACTTCTCCTCATCAGTCTGGTAAATATCAGTGGAAGAAACTCAACATTTCAACATATGTAGGAAATCCTTTACCAAAAAATAATATCTCATCAAATATCTGATAATTGAATTGTAAACATATGAAAGTTTTCCAACAGGTTGTCAAATTTTAATCTTTCTCAGAATGTGTTACAGGGGGAGAATCTATCAATTTGAGAAAGGTAAGTAATAGCATCTACTTAGAAATTGTTTCATAGAACTATTGTTACATATGAATTATGAAAACAGTTAAACATAACAATATTGATAATGTAGACATTCACTAGAATAAGGAGCTTTAAAAAGAAATAAAAAATAAGTTGCTTAAACTGAACAGCATTGAATATATGTGAATATTTTCTGATTCCTCTATTTTTTATCTATGTGTGTTTGTATATGTGCATGCCACTTACCAGGTATTTATAAGTGTACTGGAACCCAACATCATTATAATAGAATTATGTACCCCTTGCTCAGTAACTGTTCTGACATCAGCTACATTTTACCACATGTAGATTAATAAGTCTTTTACAGGAAATATGTGAATGGAGAGAATCCCATACTACATTTCATTTCTCCTGCTGCTTTCTCACATGTGCAGCTAGGGAAGGATATTGTTACTATACAGTTTTCAAAGAAGCCAAACAGTGTTTTCTGTGTACTATTGTATTACCTCAGGGTCGCCATGCTAAAATATGGAAAGAGCCTAGATGTCCTTCAAGAGATGAATGGATAAAGATGTGGTTTACACACACACACGCACACACATGCACATATGTACCCAATGGAATATTATTCAGCCATCAAACAGAAAGAAATCTTGCCATTTGCAGCAATGTGGATGGAACTAGAGGATATTATGCTAAGTGAAAGAATCAGAGAAAGACAAATACCATATGATTTCACTCATGTGGGATTTAAGAAATGAAAAAGATGAACTTGGGGAAGGGAAGGAAAAATAAAATAAGAAAACAAAGAGGGAGGCAAACCATAAGAGACTCAACTATAGAAAACAAACAGCGTTGCTAGAAGGGAGGTGGGTGGAGGGAAGAGGCAACTGGGTGATGGGTATTAAGGAGGGCACTTGAAGTAATGTACTGGGTGTTGTATGGAACTGATGAATCTCTAAAATCTACCTCTGAAACAACTAATACAGATTTGTTAATTAAATTAAATTTAAAACAGTAAATGATTATACAGTTAAGCAGGTAGGGGGATATTTCATGTGAAGATATTTTAGGACTAAACTTGTAAAATAAGCTTGTGAACATTAAAATACATAAAGTGAAAAAAACCATACATTTCAGCATACACACACATACACATATCTTCAATGTCACTGATTATTTTCTCAGCAGTATCAAGTATACTGAGGAGCCCTTTGAAGGCATTCTTCATTTATGATACTGTGTTTTTTATTTCTAGCGTTAAAATTTTATTAAAATTTCTATCTCTCTGCTGAAATAACCTATCTAATCATGCATGTTATCTAGCTTTTCCATTAAAGTCATTTTATATGATATCTGACCTTCTCTGGCTCAATGAAGCAACTGCTTGGGCCCTTGCTTCTCCCTGCAGCCACCTAGCTCTCCAGAGTCTGGGTTAGTTTTTACCCTGCCATCTCAGCTGATGCATTCAAGAAAACTTACTAACTTAAAACTCTGCCTAGCTATTTTCTTTTACGGATGGGAGCAATGCTTTTTCCTGTTCTCTACTTATCTGAGCTAAAACAAAATTTTCAATGGATTTTTGATAAATGTTCCAGTGTAATTTGATGGGAAAGGATAACTATTTCCAAAAAGGTGATAAAATAATTGGATAATTGTGTATTTTAAATATACCTTTATGTTTACATCATAATTAAATATTTCATTCAAAATGAAATATAAACCTAATCAAAATAGCTAACAGTACAGGATTTGTTAGAAAACAGACAAAAGTGTACTTTTACTTTGAGACCAAATAGTAAAGCAAAAAAGATAAGTTGAATTTCATGAATTTTTAAAGTGCTTTTCAAGATTTTATTATGAAAATGGAAAAAGCACAGATTAGGAGAAAATGTCCCTAATAGATCTGACAATTATATCTGACAAAGTACTTGCATTCACAATATGTAAAGAATATTAATAATGGGGAAAAATTATAATGCAATAATAATAATAATACAAACAACCTAGTTAAAATGGGCAAAACAGGAGAAAATTAAAACAGGCATTTTAGAAAAGAAGATATATAGATACCCAATAAATACTAAAAGAGGTGTCCCAAGCTTTAGTCATCAAGGAAATGCAAACTAAAATTATGTGATAGTATTACAAATCCCTTTGATAGTTCCTTATAAAGTTAACAATATCATACCTACAACTAACAATTTGAGTTCTAGAAATTTGCCTCCAAGGAAACACTGTACCCAGAAAATTTTTTAAGTTTTTCTAAAGAATTTTATTAAGATGTTCAAGGAACTTTTATTCACAGTAGCTCCAAATTAGAAAGAACCAAAATGTCCATCAACAGATAAATTGTATAAACAGTGATATTAGAATGGAGTAGCACTCAGTAATAGAAAAAACTGCTAATGGATGTGTCAACATTGATAAATCTCAATAAGATTAGGCTGGGAAAAGAAGCCAACCAAAAGAATCTGTATCATCTCTTTTCTATGAAATTCTAGAAAAGATCTCTAATATAGAGGGATAGGAAACACATCATTGGTTGCCTAGGGTGGGGTTTGGGATTCACTAGATAGAGGAACAATGGAATGGTTTAGTGTGATGGAAGGTTCTATATTTAGATTGTGATAGTGTTTACAAAGCTGAATAAATGCAACTCATCAAAATGTACAAAAATGCATACACTTTATAGTACATAAATTACATGTCAGTACAGTTGATTTTAAAAATCATAAAATTGAACTTTATTATGTATATTAGGAGACCCAGCATGTGCCAAGTGGCTTATTGACTTTACTAATTGGATATTTATTCCCCTCCCCCTCCTGTTTGGCTTTGTGACCTGGAGCAAGTCAGTTCTTTATGTTCCTTGATTTCCTCATTCGTGGAAGGTGCACAATGATAGTAATTACCTACAATCCATTTGGGGAGCATTTTCTGAATCTATGTCAATCACTTAAACCAACCTGGCACAAAGCAAATGGGCAATAAATAATAACTACCATTATTTTACTACTGCTAAAAATCAAAGTGAATGTGTTCTTTAAAAAAGCTTAATGCAGGGAGCCTGGGTGGCTCAGTGGGTTAAGCCGCTGCCTTCGGCTCAGGTCATGATCTCAGGGTCCTGGGATCGAGTCCCGCATCGGGCTCTCTGCTCAGCAGGGAGCCTGCTTCCCTCTCTCTCTCTCTCTCTCTCTGCCTGCCTCTCTGCCTACTTGTGATCTCTCTCTGTCAAATAAATAAATAAATAAAATCTTTAAAAAAAACAAAAAAAGCTTAATGCAAGATTATAATTCATAATAAAACAATGGGATAATTTAGACCTAAAGGAAGCTTAGCCTTGATTGGATGGGAGTTCCTCACATTATTATGGCATCAATTTTTCTAACCCTATCTGATGACACCATTCCTGAAGTGCTTGAAACCTTGGGGTCTGCTAAGTTGCTGACATGACTTCATCCAAACATTAAGTGTCTAGTTCCCAGGCAATTGCTTCTGAACAGAGACATAAAAAGCCCCTCCCTCAATGGCTCTACATCCCCCCCCACCATCTCCCTAAGATTCTCTCTTCTTCTTTTTCTCTCTCTTCTCTTCTCTTCTTCTCTCTCCACCATCTCCCTAAGAGTCTCTCTCCTTCTTCTTCTCTCTCTTCTTCTCTTAAAAAGAAACTTTTAGAATCCAAAACTAAGCTGAAGTATTGTCACTTGGGTTCTCTGCTACAGTCCAGATTAGTAGGCATATACACAAGATGTATGAACATTCTAGAAA